AAAATGCCTCGCCGTCTGGTATTAGACACCAAACGATTGATGTCTGCCTCCGATACTAACTCTTTGCTCACTTTGATTGCGTGCAATAGTATTAGAGTTAACAAACATATCGAGCAATTGAAGGCAACGTGAAAATAAAATTGTATTTTGAGCATAGCTAATATAGAGATGGGAATCAACAAAACCGATAAAATGCTGAATACGGACAGAATTGCTTCGTTTGTGTAATAAATACCAATCAAACCAAATATAAACGAGAATACAATGGAGAGTATGGCATATAATGGGACCAGAATTGGATGAATTCCGTGATGAGACTGATTGTCAGCATTTGATGTAAATTCTGACTTTTGTATTAAAATCCATATAGAGATGAGAACATTGAATGTTATTATTGCAAATAAAACACACTTCAAATACAGTACTTTTGTCAACTTATAGGCCATGATTTGTAAACACTTTTGAATGCATTCATAAAAAGGTAGTCATTTGCTGACTATTGAAATAAATTGTCTAAAATTAATTTCCAAAAGTTTTCGCATTTATATACATTTGATTGAAGCAATTCTTATCACAAGAAAAGTCGATAAAGAATTGAAAGAAAAATATTTATTGTTTACTAATTATTATAATCAATAAAACTATTGACAAAAGTTTACAAAAAGCAAACTTAAAGAGTAAAGAGTTATGCAGTCATTTTTAAGCAAATATTTATCTAGATCTCAGCGTTGAAATTGATATTAAATGACATTAAATTGACATTAAATAAATTTATTAATTTACAACTCAATAAACACATAACTTATTTGAAAAAACCAATTGATTTGTATTATTGATATGATTTGAAGTGAATTCCCGTTTTGTTTTATAGACATTGACTTTTTCCTGGATTTTCATTTAATCCCGTCCTTCGATCATATGATAGGCACAGGTATTGTACGGCACTTATAGCCGATTGAAATGCATTTCAATATCCTTTTTGTGTAAAACGTATAACAATTATAATGACTAATCAATTGGTAAACAATAATTAATGCAATGATACATGTATTGAATTCCAGTGTTTCTGTTATATTCTTGTGATTTCATGCAATCGTATTATCGGTTCAATTATTACACCAATAATTGATTAAATGTAATGATGTCTTGACAGCTATACTCTGATCACGTATTTCCTCAAATTATATTACAATTATAATATAAGAAAATTACAATAAACTTATGGAATATAAACTACTGGTTAGGCATTTATGCTATTAAATCATGATAGAATTTCAGATTAGAAAAAATAATTTCACATTCAATTTAAACAATACTTATATCACAAAAAAATATTAAAATTTTTTTTAATCATTTATTTTAATTGCCAAAAATAAAATTAATAGTAATTTAGAAACTTTTACAATAAAATATTTAAGACGTTTGCAATTATTTTTCAATCAAAATTATATTATTAAACATGATTTAAATTATATGACATTAAAAATGTAATCTCAATAAACAATTGGTTGAAATTTATGTCAAATTAAATCAATAATTATGAAACATATATTTGTGAACAAATTATTGTCAAAAACAAGTGTTAATTGAATGATAAAACAAAATATATTGAAAATAATTTAATTCAAACAAAATCATAGCAAAAAGTATTTATAAAGTGATAGTGAAAGTCTTAATGTGTCCATCGGTTTACGTCCTGCCGTCCAATAGAGACTGCGCTTCTGTGGCACCGATTGTCTTACACTTACACTCGCTGTTCAAAAGTTTACATCTATTGATCACTTGAATGGCAAACAAATCAGTGAATATGTATTTAAATACAATTACAATACGACTCTTATCTACAAAAACAAAACACAATTAATTATTTGATGCATAAAATGATATGAAATGAAAGTTTATGACAAACCTTTAGACTCGACGTCCAATAAAAAGGGTGCGATTGATAGCCAGTTGACAATCTTAAGGGCGCACTCGCTGTTGGGCTTAATGGCCATCAGCGGCAACGATGGGTCGGCACAGATGGACATACTCTGGAGATCTACGTATTGAATGACAACATTGTGTTTAAAAGTTGTTGAGCTGTTCTCTGTTATTATATTCGTCAATCTTATGGCCTCTTCGGTGAACTCAATGGACTGACCGGTTGTCATGAATTTGCCGAACAGAACGCTATGGATCGCCGATCTATTTGGCAGAGCGTGTGTTTCGGCCAAAGAGTCCATTTGGGCCGACAATTGCGTCAACTCTTCGCTCATCTCTTGTTTCTCTCTTAAGACAGCTTTATATTTGCGGATCCATTCGTTGCGATCTCTGGCCAACAACTGAACGCAATTGTGGTCTTCAGCGCTCAGACCCGCCGGTAGACAACACTCGCGACACTTCCGGTGTTCGCACGACATCTGATGCGCCAGAAGTGACTCGAGTGGACACACTTCGGGACATCCGTTCCACTCGTACTGGCATTTGATCCGCAACTTATCGATAACAGAGTTGAGTCGTCGACACGGAGTGTACGGTATCTCCAGACCACTGATGAGCATAACTGTCGCGTCGGTCACCGACTCTCTTAGCGGCCGCTTTCTTGTGGCCAATATTTGTCGACATTCGGGACAATCTTTGAGAGCGTGTGTCTTATGATCGGCTCTTGAGAGCCATCGATGGAGACAGTGGTAGCAGAAGGTGTGTCCGCATTGTGTGTCCACAGCGTTGTTGAAGACATGCAAACAAATACCACACGTAAAGTCTTCGGCCGACAATACTAACGGGTGATCACCCGAGAGGTCCACAAACCGGTCGGCACTGAAGCCAACCATTGAATGCAATCGAGTGTTGGTTTGAATTGCAATTCACTTCAAAACAAGAGATAATTTAGTGTTTAATTTGTTTAACACGTGTATTGAGTGACTGATTGACAGGATATGCTTGTATTGGTTAAACACGTGAAACACATTCACACCGATTGTGATAACAAAACAATACAAACAAATGGTAAGCACTAAACAAAACCGGCGCCCAATCCATGCTAACTATGGTTTGTCCATAAATTACACGCTATTATATATCCACTTCATTAGAGCCCTTATAAGGCTTATACTGTTATTAAGACACAGAACCCGATGGCAGACAATACAAGACAACCGCCGACTTTGGGCTCAGTCTGTGTTAATCCCCGAGAATTACATTCCGGATAATAAGCGAGTGTCGGCTGCGGACTAAACACGGCGTTCATTACAATCATTGTGTCCACACATGTGTTCTTCGAAGTCATTGATTCTGGAGTTATATTTCATAAATGAGTGCATATTTGAAGCTTTATTTGAAAACATTTTGAATATTGGCTACAAATTCGAGCATTAATTAAACAAAAGATACATTCGTTAAAAAATTAATACAATTACGGTAATAGTATTGTGAATTTTGATTGGGAATTGAGATTATAAACGAAAAAATACAAATGATAGCAAATATTATTACAGTGCAACCCCTCCATAGCGAACCCTCTCTACAACGAATACCCCTTTATAGCGAACGATTTTAAATCATTTGACGGATTCGCTATACATATAATGTTAATAAACCCTCTCTACAGCGAACCTCTCCATAACGAATCCTCTCTATAGCGAACGATTTATCTAATATTTAAAGCTATGATGATGTCCTGCGATCACCGGTGCTGTAGTGGCCGTCTTCGTCGGGCAACTCATTGCCCGCCCGTTTCACCGCTTTCTCCATATATATGCCGACCCATATTGAGCTCAATATGTTTAATATAATGAACGCTATTAATGACCACTTTAATAGATTGAATGATAGACTACGGTATGAATTGTGTAAATGAAAATTCAATGGACGACCCATTTTCGAAGTGAAAGTTAATCAAAAATGTGAAACAATCACTAAAATAAAAATAATATTCATAGCAATGACTTATTGGGTATGAATCGCTTGGTATTGGAGGCAAAAAAGTGTATAATAAGTGAAGTATTATATGGATGTGTCGATTGTTGCTTTGGACACCCGTTGATAACAAGGCTTTTTTGGTATTAATAATATTCTCTTCCTTTTTGTTTAACAAATACTTACCGTTATTTTCTAAACGTAAATATTTGTCACGACTTTTATCGTATTTTGTAGAGTTAATATGTTGTTTTTACTTTCGTTTTTAATAAAAATAGTGTCTTAATCACTAAAGTAATTTTTTCATAAATAACGTTTCTTTAAGAGCCTCTGATAACGTTGCCTTTGGTTGTTAACTATAACTTTATACAATTTTTAAACACATAGTCTTACCATTTGATGGTTGCAATTGTTTTATAGTCTTTAATGAAATGAATGTTTGCTAATTAATAAACGATTAAATATTAAAAACTTTTTAACATAAAAATTAATAATAGATTTAGTAATTGACAATAAATAAGTAAATTTACTTTATTTACAGAAAATATCAAAACTTACAAAAAAACGAAAAGTTAAATAAACTATTGATTAGGAAATCGCTAAATACATAAAGAAAGTAAAGCTTAATAGCAAACATACTTAATAAACTAGTAATCAGTAAATTACCGGTTCATAACAATTCACTTTATAAATGCAAATCATGAACGGGTGTGGAATATATGGTCGGATGAATGACTTCAACTCGGATTTTATGGGCGAATAAACCGGAGATAATTCCGGCCCCGAAGGAGACGACCCACGAGGAGATACTGCCGCGCGTGTACTCCACGGCCGCCGCATATATCGCATACATTAACATAACGACACCGAAGATCATAATCAGGCAGTAGTTCTCACGAATGCCGCCAAATATGCCCAAAAGACAGACCAAATCACTGATCACGAGCACAGTTATGGTCAGGCCGTGCCATATCTCGGCCTTCTTCTTAAACTCATTGCCTCTGCGCTGAAGTATATCCCAACTGGTGTTGTATTCATCCATATTCTGAACCCAATTCACTCTCCGTGTCATATAAATGCCGACCCATACGGAGCTCAGTATATTCAATACGGCCAACACTACTACACACCACTTAACTATTGTGTAACTCCTGGATCTGTATATCACAGGTCGACCACTATCTTCGCCACCCATTCGCTCTTTAATTATCGCACTTTACCTCAGATTTAAACAGTATTTTGATGTGAATGTGATCTCCATTTGTATTACACGTAAAGACAGAATTATGATAATATTTGCGCTTAATATTGAATGTTGTAAACCGTTGTTTGCGATAATCGCTAATAGAGATGGACTCTCAGATGGTATTGCAATAAAATAATGTTGGTTAACAAAGTGTGCAAAACCGTAGTAAATTATTAATGTATAATCCCATGATAAAAACAGTTGAAATGAAATACAAATAAAAACAATAGTTAAATTATATAGTACAATTTCTTGTAAATTATTTATGAACTTTATTTACAAAATTAAATTACAAATAAATGATATAAAATTATTATGAATGTTTATAAATATAAATAAATTTACTGTACAATGATAAATAAAAATATAAAGTTATTAAGTCCTGTACACAATTAAGTAAAAATTTAAATAGGGAAATATATAATCACAATAAATAATTACAACAAAAAGTTTGATCCGTTTCTACATATATCACAAGAATATCACTTTTATGTGACATCTAAACAGTGACCACACATTTAAGACCATTATTGACAAACAGGTCCTCATATTTGGGCGGTTTCTCGATGTCATCGTATTTGGGCGGTTCGTCCGAACCATTCATGTTATC